CCCTCTTTAAGAAGGGGGACCACACAGACTGTAACAACTACAGGGGCATCTCACTCCTCAGTGTGCCGCGGAAGGTCCTGGCAAGGATTATTCAACATTGACTTGCCAGGCACGCTGTGGAGAGGCTTGCAGAGCCCCAATGTGGTTTCAGGAAAGGGTGGTCCTGCACAGATGCCATATTTTCTGCCCGTTTGCTACAGCAGAGGTGTAGGGAATTCTCACAAGAACTACATCTCTGCTTTATTGTCCTGGTCAAGGCCCATGATACCATCAGTAGGCCTGGGCTGTTCTTCGTGCTTTCGGAGTCCCTGACTCTCTGCTCAATGATCATTAAGGACCTTCATGATGGTGAGCGGGCCTGGGTAAAACTACGTGGCCGGGAGTCGGAGCCATTCTCTGTTCACCTTGGGGTGCGACAGGGTTGTCCACTGGCTCCCACATTATTTAACATCTATTTCGACCACGTAGATCGTGAAGCCTTCGATTGCTGTACCAGAGGAATTTCCATCTGGTACAGATACAATGGGAGGCTGATTGATGCCCGCGTGTGATCAAAGGATGGCTCCATAATGGTCAACCATGTTATTTATGCTGATGATCTGGTAATTTCTGCTCTCTCAGAAGAGGAGTTGGAGGCACCGCTGCTGAACCTGGAGCGTGCCACTAAGAGGTTGGGCCTTACCATCAACCACAACAGAACTAAGCATCTTCCTGGGTATTTTGTACCATTGGACACTCCACCCCCACAACTCCCAAAGGAAGATGGGGCAGTTGTGGAGAGAGTGGAGAGTTTCCCATACCTGGGCAGTGTGCTCATGACCGTCTCTGGTTTGATAGAAGAGGTCTCACTCCGAATCAGTCGAGCGGCATTATCTTTGTATTGGTTGCATAAGGCTGTGTGGAAGCTACCTGGTCTGTCGCTTCACGCAAAGCTTTGGGTCTTCTTGGCCACAGTCATGCCCTCCCATCTCTACACTTGTGAAACGTGGACCCCCCTAATGGAACAACTTCGCCAGTTAGAAACATTTAGGCTGGCCTGCCTACGATCCATCCTGGCTTTATCCAGGCTGGATTGTGTGAGCTCACAAATCCTTGAAAGATCTGGACAAAGCCCCATCGGTGAGCTCCTCCGGCAGGCAAGGCTGCGTTGGTCCAGTCACGTAGCCCGCATGCCCAGCCACCGCATGCCCTAACAGCTTTTGTTCGGCCAGATAGAGGGGGCTTAACGGGCGCGGCACGGGCCAGAGAAGAGATAGAGTGATGTTCACAGGAGGATGTGGAGCTGAGTGGACTTGGCAATGACTGGTACCAACGGTGTCAAGATCGGCCTCTGTGGAGGAGGCTCGTGAAGGGCGTGTTCGTTTGTAAGTGCATGAAAGTGTTGCTGATAATATCGGTGAATAAAAGCAAATATACGAACAGGTGCGAGGCCTCCCCTAGGTCGACCTAGCCCTAAAAGTGTGAGACTATCCCAGTAGACATGGTTCGTTGGCCCGAAGTTGTTTTGACGGTTCCAACTACAGGACAAACGTTGGATACAGGGATCCTGGCCTCTTGGGTTCTCACCTGGTTATAAAATTAAAACTAAACTCAACCATGTTTTTATTTGATTTTACCAGGTCAGGCCCACTTAGCTATGTAGCATGTTTTTAGAAGCGACCTGGCCACAAATGATAGCTTGACGAAGTGGCCTATCGTCATGTGGAAACGTATAGCAGCCAAATGCTCGAAACGCGCGATGTTGATCGTAAACGTGGAGGTTAGAGCCGGAGGAGCCGGAGAAAAATCCACGCGACCATGGGGAGAACGTGCAAAACGTAGAGGCGTCAGGCTCGGGTTTCGAACCCACGACCTCCTGTATACCAGGCGAGGTAGTTAACATCTCGCCACCGTGGCACTTGACTTGAGCACCACTCGACGTCTGTCGCGCTAGACTCTCCACAAGACTCCGCAAGACTCCCGAGTACTCCGGGATGCAGAGGCCCGGCATGAAGTTGGTGAACGGGGTGCCCATGCTGGACTTCCTCGCGGACAAGTGGAGCTGCGTGGAGCAGCTTCAGGCCCGCTCCGATGACCTCGTCATCGCCACATACCCAAAGGCTGGTGAGATCCACCTTCGTTAACATCATCATCATCATAAGCAGCACCAAACTGCAGCACAATCATAATTTACATCAAAATAATTATTCGCAGCAGCAGCATCGTGACGTAGCCAACAGCGGATAGGAGTCATTAGCCGGGTGGCTATGCCCGTGGTTTTTAATCTAGCACTGGAGGCGAGGTTTGGTGGATCACCGCACAAATCGTGTGAACCTCCCTTTCCGTGGGCAGCAGGGGGCCCGTACCCGGGCTCACCAGGGCAACACGGCACATCAATAATGTGGACTCCATCTGTTGGGATTGAGTGTTTGCCCCTCGCACGCATGGGTTTTCTCTGGGTGCTCCGGTTTTCCTTCCACATGTAAAACACTCATCGATTGACCGGTAACGCGACACTATAAAGAGGACCGCAGAGCAGGCAATTGTTGGCGCCGGCTCACTGCGTGGCTGCCTTCCTGTTCGTATGTGTCTACTCGTGCCTCTGAGCCGTTCTCCCTCTTCGGGAGTGAGCGAATACTGTGAGCGTGATCCGTTGAAATGATCATAATCGTCATCATCATCAGGAGCAGCAGCGAGAGTGTCAAACGTCACACACTAGACACGTGTTGAGTGATGGGGCAGCGTTGGCTCTTTTCCACTACCTCACCTCGCCTTTTTTTCTCACCTCCCATCATCACCCCGGCTCTCCCCCCCCCCCCCCCCCCCCCCTGATCTCCACCCTACCCACATGCTGCAGGCACCACGTGGATGCAGGAGATCGTGGATCTGGTGATAAACGCCACGGACTTGGCACACAACCGCCGCGCGACCATCGATGACCGCATGATCTTCATGGAGTGGAGCTGCGGTCCCGGGGAACCGCCAGAGCTTCGTAGTGGTGATGTGATGGCATCGTCATAATCACCACCACCACCATCACGATATCGTCACCATCATTGAACGGTGACACGGCCCAGCGGAGGCGCATTCGCCTCCGTGTTGCAGAGACCTTGCCGGTCAATACCGCGGTATTGACCATAAAGCACCACCGCACCGGCTGCTTGGCACTGGATGTGAAAGATCCCGTGACGTCAGTCGAAGACGAGCAGGCCATTGCTTGCCGGCGTCACGGTCTAGGTTTTTTTTTCCAAATTAAAAGGAAAAAAAAACCTTGCTGATTACTTAGTTGGGAAGTAAATATCAATTGTTAGCCCCTTACTGTAATAATTGACAATATGGTCTTGAGTGTGAATGAAACTTTCCCGGGCAAACAATCAGAAGAATGCTAATTATAACTGCTGATTCCATCATTGTTACCATCAGCACCATCATCATTGTCAGCATCAATAACCTCGTGATGTTAATAAACATTTACAATTAACAATACCAGCTGAATCCCCAGCATCATCGCTTTTAATATCACCATGACCACCGTTGGTAGCAACATATCCATGAACAATATCTGGCTCGTCATTCTTGCTACGAGCATCGTCCCCATCATCATCATGATATTCAGCAACATCGTCAATTACATCACCACTACCATCAATAACCATTAACAAATCCCACCATGATCACCATCACCACTTAACATCGCCATCACCCGCACTCAGCGGTAGAGCGAGCGGCTCGCAACCAGATGGTGGCGAGTTATAATCCTGGTCGGAGGTTGACTCGACCCATCACCTCTCTGGGGTCGATACAAAAAAAGTACTTGCCAGAAAGTCAACAGTGTTTGTCCTTTGGATAGACCAGGGGTCGGCAACCAACACAACAAGAAGAGCAATTTCTTTCGAATTCGGTAAAAAAAAATCCCCCTAAATATTTAAAGAGCCGCAATTCGTGCGATTAGCGTCACGAAGCAGCAGTCCCTTGAAGAGCCACGTGCGGCTCCGGTGCCGCAGATTTCCGACCCCTCAGATCAAGGATGTAATTAATATATATTGGGGGGGGGGGGACACATCCCCCCCCCCCCCAATATTCAAATATGCTCAAAATGCCCCCCCCCCAATATATCGCTATAAAATATGTTTATATGATTGTGGTTATGGTTGTACTTTAGTCATCCCTAATCTCTGCCATTACATACAATGAAACAAGGAAAGGTAAAAAAGAAAAAAAATAGAGCAATGTAATACAATACCACTCTGAGACATTATTGTAAAACAATAAATAAAAAGTCCATCCCATGTGTTAGTGAACTTTAAAATATTTTAGGCAGGAAATGGCAGGAAATTCGTTTTCAAATTTCGAATTTTTTTTCTGGGGGGGGGGGGACCCCCAGATCCCCCTGGAAGATTTGGTCCCCCCCAGCGTTGACTCCATGGCTACGGCCTTGCCTGAGATAGACTCACTCTCACCACGGGGGATGCGGAAGAATCTCCACCACTGGATCAGATGCTGTAACCAGGAGGTGAGCACGACCTCGATGCTCATCGGAGCAGGCAGTCAGTTTGACTTTGTGCACGATTGCAGGTGTGGAGCTGCTCGATGAATTTCCGTCTCCTCGCGTCATCAAGACCCACGTTCCCTACAAGCTCTTTCCCTCTTCGTTCTGGGCGAAGGACTGCAAAGTGAGATTATCATAGCAATCGTCCATGTCGTTATTATCTTCATCATCAATATCAGCAGCAGCAGTAGCAACACTCATCGACAAAGGCATCAGCAGCAGTAGCAGCATCTCCAACATCACTACCATTGATATTTACCGGAACGCTGCTTGGCAGGATTGGAGTATGGATTTATCAGCGTAAGGCACTACCACGAGAGTACGAGATACGCGCATCCACACTAATCTGATGTCATTGTACCTGATACACAAGCACACCTTGCACCGCAGCATCGTGAGAACAATGCAAGGCGGCCGTCTGGAACGCTCCTCCTCTCGATATTCAGAAGCCACTGGAGCTAACGCACTTTTAAACCATCTAAATTGAAACCTTCATTTCTTTAGAACTGCTTTTTTGTGGTTTAGTTTGGCGTTCTTCCCCCCTCCCCCTCACCTCCGATTAGCACGGTTGGCTACGTACGGTGCGAAATAAGTTCAACGTGCACGCATACACACAACGGCAATGAGAAGGAGGCTCTGTGGTAGATGGTTGAAGGTGTGGTCAAGTGGATTCGCGTGAAGTCAATAACATGCACAGAGGAGAGGTACTGAATATGGGCGTCTCAACTGACGCCACATCCACTCATTCTCTCCCGTGGCGGTCAGCCGTCTCCATATCACTCTTCTATCGCCACTAACGTGGTGAGCGCATCAATAGTTACGATTTAATGTACGGATTTATGGAGAGACCGTGCGTTTTCTTGCTGTGGTCTGGGACTGTTTTTTTGTTTTGCTGCCTTGCCCAAGATTGTATTCGCTGTTGACAAATCGGCAGGCATCGATGCACTTGTGCTATTTGTACTTATATAATTATTTATTTTCAATCTATTCATATTGCATCCAGTGCCGGATTATCCCAGTAGCAAAAGTAGTTACAGTGAGGGAAAAAAGTATTTGATCCCCTGCTGATTTTGCACGTTTGCCCACTGACAAAGAAATGATAAGTCTATAATTTTAATGGTAGGTTTATTTGAACAGTGAGAGACAGAAAAACAACAACAAAATCCAGAAAAACCCATGTCAAAAATGTTATAAATTGATTTGCATTTTAATGAGGGAAATAAGTATTTGACCCCTCTGCAAAACATGACTTAGTACTTGGTGGCAAAACCCTTGTTGGCAATCACAGAGGTCAGACGTTGCTTGTAGTTGGCCACCAGGTTTGCACACATCTCAGGAGGGATTTTGTCCCACTCCTCTTTGCAGATCATCTCCAAGTCATTAAGGTTTCGAGGCTGACGTTTGGCAACTCGAACCTTCAGCTCCCTCCACAGATTTTCTATGGGATAACGGTCTGGAGACTGGCTAGGCCACTCCAGGACCTTAATGTGCTTCTTCTTGAGCTACTCCTTTGTTGCCTTGGCCATGTGTTTTGGGTCATTGTCATGCTGGAATACCCATCCACGACCCATTTTCAATGCCCTGGCTGAGGGAAGGAGGTTCTCACTCAAGATTTGACGGTACATGGCCCCGTCCATCGTCTCTTTGATGCGGTGAAGTTGTCCTGTCCCCTGAGCAGAAAAACAACCCCAAAGCATAATGTTTCCACCTCCATGTTTGACGGTGGGGATGGAGTTCTTGGGGTCAGAGGCAGCATTCCTCCTCCAAACACGGCGAGTTGAGTTGATGCAAAATAGCTTCATTTTGGTCTCATCTGACCACAACACTTTCACCCAGTTGTCCTCTGAATCATTCAGATGTTCATTGGAAAACTTCAGACGGGCATGTATATGTGCTTTCTTGAGCAGGGGGACATTGCGGGCGCTGCAGGATTTCAGTCCTTCACGGTGTAGTGTGTTACCAATTGTTTTCTTGGTGACTATGGTCCCAGCTGCCTTAAGATCATTGACAAGATCCTCCTGTGTAGTTCTGGGCTGATTTCTCACCGTTCTCATGATCATTGCAACTCCACGAGGTGAGATCTTGCATGGAGCCCCAGGCCGAGGGAGATTGACAGTTATTTTGTGTTTCTTCCATTTGTGAATAATCGCACCAACTGTTGTCACCTTCTCACCAAGCTGCTTGGCAATGGTCTTGTAGCCCATTCCAGCCTTGTGTAGGTTTACAATCTAGTCCCTGACATCCTTGGAGAGCTCTTTGGTCTTGGCCATGGTGGAGAGTTTGGAATCTGATTGATTGATTGCTTCTGTGGACAGGTGTATTTTATACAGGTAACAAGCTGAGATTAGGAGCACTCCCTTTAAGAGTGTGATCCTAATCTCAGCTCGTTACCTGTATAAAAGACACCTGGGAGCCAGAAATATTTCTGATTGAGAGGGGGTCAAATACTTATTTCCCTCATTAAAAAGCAAATCAATATATAACATTTTTGACATGCGTTTTTCTGATTTTTTGTTATTTTTCTGTCTCTCACTGTTCAAATCAACCTACCATTAAAATTATAGACTGATCATTTCTTTGTCAGTGGGCAAACGTACAAAATCATCAGGGTATCAAATACTTTTTTCCCTCACTGTACATGTGTAGTAGTAGCTACATATGTAGTAGCTACATGTGTAGTGTAGTAGCTACACAAGTAGCTACATGTGTAGTGTAGTAGCTACACATGTAGCTACTACACATGTAGCTACTACACGTGTAGTAGCTACGGGCCCCGCACTTTCAAGGATCCCACGCTAAACGCTTTCAAGCAATCAATTCCGGTTCAGCGATTCTGCACTTGCTCTATTACTATAGTACTATACCACCTTCAACTTTTATGAACGACTGGGTGTTTAAGGTTAGCGATTTGTCGTATTATCTGGTTGTATAGCAAATGAAAAAATACAATTACTTTACTATGCAAGTTAAAAATGTGTGTTTTAATATTTAAGTGTTCTTTTTTCATTTAGGGCCCCTTTATAACAGCATATGCTACAGGAGCCGCACTAGCTTCATCCGGCACTGATTGTATGTATCACTTGCTTGCCTGCCCTATGCTTTGCACTGCTGTCGGTGTTTGCATTGTTTGTTGTTGAAATGTGCTAACCCGCTCCCTGCTGGACATCTGTGAAAACAGTTTCCGAGCTCATCGGATTTGGCATCTCAATAGAGACTCCGATTCTGAGTTGACCCTCCAACGCCTCCACCCCCACCCCCGTCTGTGCCCAGGTGATCTACGTGGCTCGGAACGCCAAGGATAACGCCGTCTCCTACTTCCACTTCGACCGCATGAATCGGCAGCAGCCGGAGCCCGGCTCCTGGGAGGAATACCTCCCGCGCTTCGTGGCCGGAAGCGGTGAGAGCGGCGACCACCGCGTGGCCCTGCTCCGTGGACCACCTCACCCTCTCAAGGGGAACTCCACCCGATGATGCAGCACTCACTCGTTCGCTCTAGTCACCGGGGGTCGGTCATTCGACTTCGTATTACTCTTCTATCGCTACGAACACGGTCACTGCTTCCGTGAACTACATTTTGCTCACTTCTCCACCCGCGTTGACGACTCAGCAAACAAACAAGGCACACTAAATACGCTTCTTATTTTACCAGGTAAGGCCCACTGAGCTATATATCAGGTTTTTTCAGAAGCGACCTGGACACAAATTATGGCTCCGCAAAGTGGCTGATCGTGTGAATGTTTATTGCAGCCAAAAAGTCTGAAGGCGTGTTTCTAAATGTGGAGCGAAAAACAGGAGGGTTCCGAAGAAAAAATCCATGCGACCACGGGGAGAGAGGACAATGCAAACTCCAAATATACAGCAGGCGTCGGGGTCGGGATCGAACCCACGACCTCCTGCACACCAGGAGAGGTAGTTAACATCTCGTCACCTGGGTGCCAATGTGTGCGCGTGTCCCAACTGCCCATAGTGCCGTGGGGCTCCTGGTACGATCACGTGACCGGCTGGTGGAACGCGAGAGAGAACCACCGGATCCTCTACTTCTTCTATGAAGACATGAAGGAGGTGAGGCTGTGAGACATGAAGGAGGTGAGGTTGTGAGACATGAAGGAGGTGAGGTTGTGAGACATGGAGGAGGTGAGGTTGTGAGACATGAAGGAGGTGAGGTTGTGAGACATGAAGGAGGTGAGGTTGTGAGACATGAAGGAGGTGAGGTTGTGAGACATGGAGGAGGTGAGGTTGTGAGACATGGAGGAGGTGAGGTTGTGAGACATGGAGGAGGTTGTGAGACATGGAGGAGGTGAGGTTGTGAGGCATGGAGGAGGTGAGGTTGTGAGCCATGAAGGAGGTGAGGTTGTGAGACATGGAGGAGGTGAGGTTGTGAGACATGGAGGAGGTGAGTTGTGAGACATTTAGGAGGTGAGGTTGTGAGACATGAAGGAGGTGAGGTTGTGAGCCATGAAGGAGGTGAGGTTGTGAGACATGGAGGAGGTGAGGTTGTGAGACATGGAGGAGGTGAGGTTGTGAGCCATGAAGGAGGTGAGGTTGTGAGACATGAAGGAGGTGAGGTTGTGAGCCATGAAGGAGGTGAGGTAGTGAGACATGAAGGAGGTGAGGTTGTGAGACATGAAGGAGGTGAGGTTGTGAGACATAAAGGAGGTGAGGTTGTGAGACATAAAGGAGGTGAGGTTGTGAGCCATGAAGGAGGTGAGGTTGTGAGACATGAAGGAGGTGAGGTTGTGAGACATGAAGGAGGTGAGGTTGTGAGACATAAAGGAGGTGAGGTTGTGAGACATTTAGGAGGTGAGGTTGTGAGACATGAAGGAGGTGAGGTTGTGAGACATGAAGGAGGTGAGGTTGTGAGACATAAAGGAGGTGAGGTTGTGAGACATGGAGGTTGTGAGACGTGAAATTGTGTCTGTGTCTATATATATGGATGGCTTCATGAACGAATCTTTGTTGATAGCCAGTGGGTTTGCAGAGTACCTAGGTATCAGATAAAACAATGTCATGAGAACCCGCTGTGTTGAAACAATGATCAGCCACGGCCGAGGTATTGGTCCGACCGTGTTTCAAATCTGCCTAATGTTCACGAACACAGTCCGAGACATGTCGCTTAGTTTCCCCAATGTAACTACTGCCGCAGACACAGCTTAGTTTGTAGACGCCGGGGTATTGCATGTCAGGGATCACATCCTTCACATATAGGATCAGATCACGAATTTTATGTACTGTGTTAAATCGAACCTGGATCTTGTGTTTGCTCATGATTTTGGATTTTTTTTTAGTGACCCTTGCTATGTATGGCAAGGTGATAGTTTTGATTGGGTCCTCAGATGGTTATTTCCCAAAGGTTGGGGTGATAGTTTTACGGATTGTGTAGTCTGAATATCCATTCATCTTGAGAGCTTGGTGTACGTGTTCCAGTTCACTGGTCAGGTGATGACGGTCGGAAATACATCGAGCTACATGGTGTAGAGTTTTGATGAGGGAATTCTTCTGGGATGGATGGTGGTGGGAGTCAGGTTTTAGGTAGGCATCCATATGGGTGGCTTTCCTGTAGACAGGGTGTCCCATTGAGCCATCTGGTCTCTTTTCAATTAAAACATCCAGGAACCTATCTACGTGACTTTACCGAAAGACCCAAGAATATGAATTCCTGCAGTCACGAAAGCTTTAAGTCAAGATCTTTCTAATGACCATTTGTTAAATCGGCGTATGAATAGTGGCACTATTAGTAGCTATTGCATGACACACACACAGTATTAACCAGGGTGGCTTTCCTGGGTTCCGCGCTGCGAACCTTTGCGACAAGCGGCGAGCGCGCTCCCGCTGGCGTACGTGGCCCAAGTGTGCGCACGTTTCCGGTACCTCACTCGAACCGGGTCGGTGATGGGGGGGCGGGGGGACTTTGCCTCTGCTCAAGTCGCGAGGGCAACAACGCCGTCAACCAGTGCCAGAGTGCACAGGGCGACGTGGTCTCAGACGCGGAGTTACCCGAGCACACCGTCAGACTTCCGTGCGGGCCTTCTGCTGCAAGGTGCAGCCGCATGCGACATGCTCGTTCACCCCCGCTGCTGGCCTCGGGTGCCTCCTCGAGAGGGTGTTTGGCCTCCTCTTCCACGTGTTACCGGACGCCTTGGAAGAGGTTGGAGTACCCACACTTGACCCAGTGCCGGATTAAGTTAGTGCGGGGCCTGTAACACATGTTATAATGGGGCCGGCCCTAAGTAAAAAAAAACCACGTAAATATTAAAACACACATTTTTTTACTTGCATAGTAAGGTAATTGTATTTTTTCATTTGCTATACAGCCAGATAATAGACAAATCGCTAACCTTAAACACCCACTCGTTCATAAAAGTTGAAGGCAGTATAGTACTATAGTAATAGAGCAAATGCAGAATCACTGAACCGGAATTTAAAGTTTGAAAGAATTTAGCGCGGGGCACTTGAAAGTGCGGGGTCCATAGCATATGTAGCCACTTTTGTTTCCTAGGATAATCCAGGCACTGACTTTACCCCACCACACTCGACCTGTCGATTGACTAACTGTGGTCCATCCCATTATACTGCTGGATGGGCAGTGGTGGTGGGGTGGTGGGGGGGGGGGGACTATCTAGGAATTTGCCCAGTATTTCGGCTGCCACGCTGGGAGATCGAACCGGCGACCTCTGGATTTTCAATTCCAGGGCGATTGATTTTCAAACTGCCCTCGTGGGAATTGCCTGACTCAGGAGAATTGGGTTACATCACATCGCAGAGGCAGACTCTGCAGCTGCCAGCCTTGGTGCCTATACTGTGTTGTAAGGATGGGTCCTAACAAGAATGAAACCGGCCCACAGTTGTCTATGTCTGCATCACTGCTGCTGTCAGTCGCTCACATTTTACTCGAACTTATTTTTATGGTCAACTAAGACAAGACGACCACAATGCAGTTTATTCAGGAACTGTTGATGGGGGTTTTTTTTGCACAATGCACGCATGCTGTGTGATTTTGAAGCGTGCCCATGTGTTGTTTGAAACCAATCAAAGTGGCTGGGATATCTGCCGCAACGTGATTCGTGTGATAGCCTCTTCTGACGCCACGTAGCATTCACACATCGGTGGACCGTTAACTGTCGTGTAAATCGGTGTCCATTTTGACCGGTTCAGGTCTGTGAGTAAAATTGTAACGATAAAAATAATACGGAATAAAATGTCCGCCGAAATGTCCTACGTTTGTCATCTACCAATAAATCCCGCCGAGGCAGCCTCTCAAACAGATTCAACGCGGATAAATCAGCAGTATAGCTGGGTGCAAGACAGTCGATCGGCAGATCGGGCGTGGTGGGAGTAAAGCGTGCCTACACCCCAACAGCTTCCAAGACAAGTGTGGAAGAGTAGACCAAATACACTCTGCAGGGTGCTCTCCAGAACTCCGTCTAGCAGAGGCCCTCCCGCCAGCAGCGGAATTAAGTCAAGGGTTTGCCTGCTTCAAACTCACACTGCTGTGAGTGCCATTGCTTCGTAGACCTGAACGTGCGATCGCTCCTCCGTCTCGCCCCCTCCCAACTCCTTCCAATCTGCCGTGGGGGTCAGAACCCCCTGCGGGAGGTGTCTCGGGTCGCCGACTTCATCGAGCGGCCACTGTCGGAGCGGCAGCTGCAGGAGGTGGTGCGCCTCAGCTCGTTCTCGGTCATGAAAAACAACCCCATGAGCAACTACAGCCACCTGCCGCCCGCCCTCATGGACCAGACCGTGTCGCCGTTCATGCGCAAGGGTGAGTGCCCGCTGCCGATGCCGCAGAAAGAGGCATGAAGGAGGTGAGGTGGAGTCGGCCGCTACGAGTTTGTCACGGAGCCCAACGGTGGTCACGTGGCATCGCGAATGTGACGAAGGTCCCAAAGTGAAATCGTTTAAGTGGCTGCGTAAACGCATGCGATTAGGTGCTCCCATTATTTCCTTTACAAATAGTAAGTCGGTGGCAAGTGGGGGGAAGAAGGCATCCAACTGTTGTATGTGGAGAGTCTTACAATGTATTATTTAATTTAATTGATCATCGCAATCTCGTGGCAAGGAGTTTTCCCACATCAATTATAAGACCTTCGCCACGATACTCACCAGGTTCATAGATCCGTCCAGCAGTACAAGTAATACGACTCTTGAAACATAATTAAAGCACTCGGACACTCCGTACACTACAAATATGAATATTTAATAGATCATAACATCAACTGGTATTACAATCACGTACTCTATGCATCATTCTTCTTCTTTAGTATACATGAAAAACACGCGACCAACCGATGCAACCGCACGAGCCAATATATGAAAAAGAAAAATATGAATGTCTGGGCATATAATCAACTAACGTATGAGCCCTCTAAAGTCTACTCCCCCCTTTTTAGTGATGTGATGAAGTGATGTTATAATTAGACGAGGTTCGTTCACAAGGTTAGATTGCTCCCTCCGTGAGCGAGCACCAATGCCCCCTTCGCACAGGTGAGGTTAAGGCAGCAGTCTCTACTTAGTCTCTGGCCGCTCTTGGCTCGCAATCGTTCAGATCAATCCGCAGCTGTCCACGCCTCTGCATGCGCTGTCCCAAGGCTGCCAGCGAGGATGCAGTTCGCTCCTCCAGCGTGTGCCGCACAGGAGCCCCCACAGTTCGTCAATCGCAGTCGACCGATGGTGGTCGTGCCCAGCGCTGGCGTACGGCAAATGCCCCGTCACTCCGGTCCCGGTGGAGCACCTCGCCTTGTCTCCGGCAAGGCCGTAATTATAATATATTGGAGGGGACACACATCCCCCCCAATATTCAAATATGCTCAAAATGTCCCCCCCCAATATATTCATATAAAATAGATTTCTGTTTATATGATTGTGGTTATGGTTGTACTTTATTAATCCCTAATCTCCGCCATTACACACAATAAAACAAGAAAATGTAAAAAAGAAAAAAACAGAGCAATGTAATACAATGTTAGACATTATTGTAAAAAATCAATAAAAAGTCCATCCTATGTGTTAGTGAATTTTGTAATATTTTAGGCAGGAAATTCGTTGTCAAATTCAGATTTTTTTTCTGGGGGGAGGGGGACCCCCAGACCCCCTGGAAGATTTGGTCCCCCCCCCCCAATGTTGACTCCATGGCTACGGCCTTGGTCTCCGGTATCAGGTGCGAAGGTTTCTCCACCACGCGCAGACCTTTTAAACCTCTCCGGCAATGAATCAGACTCGGTATGCCTTGTATCAGACTCACAAATCCCAGGCTAATATTTTGTTCACTCATACAATACGTAACAATATGCGTCCACGTTTGTGTGTTGAACTCCTCCACAGATATATCAAAACCAACCCACATTAGCAACTACAGAAAAAAACTCAAACTCTATGATATAGCCTTAGCCTTAACAGAAAATAGGAACGCACTGGCGTTAGAACGAATAAGTTTACTCTCCAAGGACTTTACAGTGTATGTCATCTACATATATATGTAGTAAAACGATAACTTAAAGACTCTTAATAATAGGGTTTTTCCCCTTTTTTCTGGCAACAAAACTTAAACCTTTTTACAAGGATTCATGTCAGTTTCAAGGACAATGCCAATATATTATCATAGTATGTTTTTTGTTTGCATTTTGACTGCAGGTATTGTGGTTAATGCAGACATGAATCCTTGTAAAAAGGTTTCAGTTTTGTTGCCGGAAAAAAAGGGGAAAACCCCTATTATTACATTTTGGTACTGGCAAAAGAGGTCTAAAGATTAAAGACACTTTAATCTAATATTAATTACACATGAATTATCATAAAGGGGTATACTGTGGGGGCTAATGCCCCCCTCCCCACTAGGTGGGGGCCGATGCCCTCCCTTCCACCCGCCATTGGTGGGGGGGGGGGTCAATCACCTCCTCCCCCTCCTCGCGCGTCCTAACCGCGTGGATTACGTAATTGTTTGACTCGCCGCTTGCGGCTGTGTAGAGTTAATTAATTATGTCTACTAAGCCGTTGTGTCAACAAGCCTCGGAATCAATTAATGAATCTCTGCGCGCTACGCTCGCGGCGCGGTCAAGCGTCCCTCTATTTAATTATTTATTTGAATGTGCGCGCGTGTCGTGCATATACTGATTAAAGTCACCCACACACCGTCGTAGGCCGATCGCTGTCCCACCGCTCTTCACACGCACACATGTACCACGCATCACAACGTCAGTCTGTGCTAAGAGTTATTTCCTGGAGTGAATAGGGACCCCCGTTTACGACCCCCTCCAGCCAGCATCCTTCGGACCGCGCCTAACCTCCTTTCAGCTAGCCGTCGCAGAGTGCGTCTATCCCTCAAACTCGAGCTGACTGTGAGCTGGACTGAATTGGCCCCCTCCCCCCGTACTGACTCACCTTTCCAGCTGCACGATGGGGGTTGGGGAAGATGCCCGCCTCGGAGACTTTGCCCGGGCAATCGTTCTCAGCTGTACCCTGCAGGCGTCCCACGGACGCTGAGGGCGGCTGGTGTTCTCTCCCACTCCAGAAGAACTCTGATCCTATTTGCCCTCCTGCCCCCCCTTATGTTCCCAAAGCCCGTCATCCTGAGCATCCAATCGAATCCTCTTTCCGGCCGTTTTGAGCGCTCTGGCCGTTGGGGGGGGGGGGGGGGTCGCGTCATCCCCCCCCTTCCCATTGTCTCTGTGCCTGCGTTCCTCGCCGTTGACTCATCGATAATCCCCTCGCTCCCTCCAACTTAAGTCAACTCTTATCTGCCTAGGGGTTTTTCCCTCCCGCCCCACTGTTTACCCTGCCGCTGGGTACTGGCTGAAGGTCCCATCCCCCCGTGTTGTGTAAGCTTCATCGAGGCCGGCCTGTAAAGCTCTATGCCCCCTTTTTGGGGGGGGCACCATGTAATTTCCTGGTCTGGGGAAACCGTGGAACGTCCCTGCTAGTGGGGTCCTCGGGTGAAAACCCATCGTACCAGGTGATCCCTCCTCAAGACCCTATGGGGGTGCATGTGAGTGTTTAGTGGGGCGTGCGTGCGTTCGTGGGGGGGGGGGGGGGGGGGGTGCGAGGAGAGGGTAGCGCCGGACAAGTTGCTCCGCTGCGGTGGCACCACAATATACCCAATCCAACCCACTCTATTCCATTCGTCATTTTTTTCGTAATTTTTTCCCCGTTCCTCGGCTATGAATCTTACTCAATATTTCCATTCCAAAGCAGCAGCGATCGTTGCGATGGTACAGAGGGCATACACAGTAGGTAGGGCACCATGGTAGCGAGATGTTAACTACCTCGCCTGGTATACGGGAGGTCGTGGGTTCGATTTCGACCCTGATGCCTTTATATTTGGAGTTTGCTTGTCTCACTACGTGGTCGGGTGGATTTTTTTCAGGGTCCTCCGGATTTTCCTTCCACATAAAAAAGTTAAAATCTCGTGTTTAGAGTATGTAGCTGCTATGAATTTCCACGTGATAAGCCACTTTGTTGAGCTGTTATGTGGCCACGTCGCTTCTGAAAAAAATACCTACATAGCTCAGTGATGGGCCTTACCTGGTATATACAATTACATATTGCAGATGGTGGGAAATGACCCGGGGTTAGGGTTTGGTTCGTGCATCACGCACTTTGGCATGGCGAGTGTTTTCATTGGCAAAGGTGAAGGTGCAGTGCTCGAGTCTCGTCGGCTGCACGTTGCCCAGCGTGTCAATCGGAGGTGTGTTTATTGTTGTCGCAATGAGAGGAGGGCTCTCGTTTGGCTCCGGAGTGTGCGTCACCTCTTTATTTTCGGCCTCTGATTCTCATCCGGCTGAACAGGTTTCATGACGTTTTTTTAAAAAATTCGGTTCCCGAAGAAGCCCCCAGCGCATCGAGCGAAACGTCGCACGTTGATCCGGATAATACACGACGCAATTGAAAACACGTATTGGAGAGCTATGCAGTGTACATGGTTAATAGAAACACACAAAAGCTCTGAATCTAGTTTTAATAGAAACAACTGCTGCAATTACGAGTGATAACGAGTAATAACTGGAGCGGATCGTGTTCATGATTAACCTTCCTTTGGATGTTTGACCAGTAGAAACATCTACACACAGAGGGCAGGAACGTGTCAGCGCGTTACCGTTAACACTTGTGTATCTTGCAAAGCCTCAGAGGCTCATGACTTCATTTCAGGAGGGTCCTGCCAAAGTTTTCGCAGTAGAGAGCCATGATTGCTGTGAACTGTATAGCAATTGCGAGGTCATAAAAAATATATACATGGACCATCACGCCGGACGTCACGGGATCTTCAAAGTCCACTGTGAAGCAAATGGTGCGTCGTATTTTACGGTTAATACCACACCGCATTTATTCACAATCAGAATCTTTATAACATCCTGGATAAATCCGATGAGCTGTGAAGCTCTTTTTCACACACGTCCAGTGGGGGCGTGGGTCAGAAATTTACAATAAAAAAAACTTTGGAGTCCAACGTATAGCAGAGGTAATCACATCACTGAACATAAGTACGTAAAAAATATATATAAAGCATGAGTACAAATTGGAAAAGTACATTATTCACCAAGGGGTACGCTGGATTCGAACCGGGAACTTCTTCAACCAGCGACAAACACGCGACTGCTGATCCACGTCATCGCATGACCACTGCGGGTTCCACCAACCCAGATCGTCACATCCACACAATCTGAATGAGCGTGCAACATCACCGCCACCGCCACCACCACCACCACCACGGTGTGGCGGTTTGCTCGCGCGTTGAGTTCCAGGATTCACGTCAGGTTTCTGGGGTTTTTCTAACCACCCCTGGGGCATCCGCTCACTTTGCAATCGGGAGTTATCAACCCATGTGGGCGTTGGAATCCGTCCATAACGAGCTGCACCTGGTGCGTTCAATTCACGGTGTCGTTGTTTAGCCAGCGAAACCTCACCTAGTCTAATGACTCTTTTACTGGTAGGAACCTCCTGGTTACACCACCAGCCCACAGGGGATTCTTGTGTCCGTCCGTCGTGCATACAAAAATGGGAGGGGTGGGGCTGGGTGGAGAGGGGAGGGTGGGGAGGGAGGGGCTGGGTGGGGAGCGGCTGGGTGGGGAGGGGGAGGGTGGGGACGGGCTGGGTGGGGAGGGTGGGGAGGGGCTGGGTGGGGAGGGTTGGGGCTGGGTGGGGGGTGGGAGGGGTGGGGCTGGGTGGGGAGGGGCTGGTCACCCCGTGGTGCCCTTATAAAACTCAACGTTTCACCTACTCAAGCTGGCTTGTGCCCGCCCTCACAGTCGGGCATATTTGCGGAATCCACCACGTGGTGCCGCCGTTGACCCTGGCCATTGACCGAACAACCCAACGTTCCTACCAGCTCCCTCCACAGGAATGTGTTTTCGGTAAGGTACTGCTTATATTTTCGTCGATTACAAGACACACCAGTCCCATGTATACTACAACAAACGGTGGGGGTTGGTCTTATAATCCGAAGCATCGTATATATGTAGTGTGGTGCAACCACGCGGAGACGAGGAATGTTACTTGGGCTGCTTGCTGTTTATTTACACACAGCACATCCAACACTCACACCAGCTGTCAGTGCACGCTAGCCTGGGTCCTTCACACAGACACACTGCCCTGCTACGGCTACCCCTATCTCTACTCACTCGTCTGTCCCGGGAGGGGGTTTAGCCAACACCGCCCGGCAACGAGGTGAGATTTTTTTTATTTAGTTTATTTATTTGGTATAGCCCTGTGAGCCATTCGGCTCTTGAATCGGGTGTAACCACAACAAACAAAAAACAAAAACACGAACAAGAAAATATCTTAAAGTGACTATGTGACTGTGACTGTGCAAACTGAAAATCCATGAAAAAACAGCAAAATATTCCTGAAAAATCAGCGTACACCAACGCTGTGTGCAAAAATCCCAGTGGGATGCAAGTCAAACAACAACAACCACAAGAAAAACTTAGATTAAGGCCATCAGTCTAACTCCGTACTACAACAAAACAAACATGTCCAAACCAAAAAACGTTTTCGAAATCACCATAAAATAAAGCCATAATTGCAATGTAACAGTGATCATAGGGACTGTGACCGAATTTTTCACAATAAACTACATAAATAATATGTACAGTGAGGGAAAAAAGTATTTGATCCCCTGCTGATTTTGTACGTTTGCCCACTGACAAAAAAATGATCAGTCTATAATTTTAATGGTAGGTTTATTTGAACAGTGAGAGACAGAATAACAACAACAAAAATAAAAAAAAACGCATGTCAAAAATGTTATAAATTGATTTGCATTTTAATGAGGGAAATAAGTATTTGACCCCTCTGCAAAACATGACTTAGTACTTGGTGGCAAAACCCTTGTTGGCAATCACAGAGGTCAGACGTTTCTTGTAGTTGGCCACCAGGTTTGCACACATCTCAGGAGGGATTTTGTCCCACTCCTCTTTGCAAATCTTCTCCAAGTCATATTCTTAGCTCTTTCGGTAAAGTCACGTTGAAGGGAAACAATAAAATAATAAAATATATAGAACAAGGAAAAATATATTTTATTATTTTATTGTTTCCCTTCAACGTGACTTTACCGAAAGAGCTAAGAATATGAATTACTGCAGTCACGAAAGCTTTAAATCAAAACTTCTCCAAGTCATTAAGGGTTCGAGGCTGATGTTTGGCAAATCGAACCTTCAGCTCCCTCCACAGATTTTCTATGGGATTAAGGTCTGGAGACTGGCTAGGCCACTCCAGGACCTTAATGTGCTTCTTCTTGAGCCACTCCTTTGTTGCCTTGGCCGTGTGTTTTGGGTCATTGTCATGCTGGAACACTTATCCACGACCCATTTTCAATGCCCTGGCTGAGGGAAGGAGGTTCTCACCCAAGATTTGACGTTACATGGCCCCGTCCATCGTCCCTTTGATGCGGTGAAATTGTCCTGTCCCCTTAGAAAAACACCCCCAAAGCAAAATGTTTCCACCTCCATGTTTGACGGTGGGGATGGTGTTCTTGGGGTCATAGGCAGCATTCCTCCTCCTCCAAACACGGCGAGTTGAGTTGACAAAGAGCTCCATTTTGGTCTCATCTGACCACAACACTTTCACCCAGTTGTCCTCTGAATCATTCAAATGTCCATTGGCAAACTTCAGCCGGCCATGTATATGTGCTTTCTTGAGCAGGTAGACCTTGCGGGTGCTGCAGGATTTCAGTCCTTCACGGCGTAGTGTGTTACCAATTGTTTTCTTGGTGACTATGGTCCCAGCTGCCTTGAGATCATTGACAAGATCCTCCCGTGTAGTTCTGGGCTGATTACTCACCGTTCTCATGCTCATTGCAACTCCACGAGGTGAGATCATGCATGGAGCCCCAGGCCGAGGGAGATTGACAGTTCTTTTGTGTTTCTTCCATTTGCGAATAATCGCACCAACTGTTGTCACCTTCTCACCAAGCTGCTTGGCAATGGTCTTGTAGCCCATTCCAGCCTTGTGTAGGTCTACAATCTTGTCCCTGACATCCTTGGAGAGCTCTTTGGTCTTGGCCATGGTGGAGAGTTTGGAATCTGATTGATTGATTGCTTCTGTGGACAGGTGTCTTTTATACAGGTAACAAGCTGAGATTAGGAGCACTCCCTTTAAGAGTGTGCTCCTAATCTCAGCTCGTTACCTGTATAAAAGACACCTGGGAGCCAGAAATCTTTTTGATTGAGAGGGGGCCAAATACTTATTTCTCTCATTAAAATGCAAATCAATTTATAACATTCTTGACATGCGTTTTTCTGGATTTTGTTGTTGTTATTCTGTCTCTCACTGTTCAAATAAACCTACCATTAAAATTGTAGACTGATCATTTCTTTGTCAGTGGGCAAACGTACAAAATCAGCTGGGGATCAAATACTTTTTTCCCTCACTGTAACACCAAACCCTAGAGCCATAGCTGGCTGCCTGAGTTACTCCACAACAACAGAATCATCAGCCTGAGTATAAAAAATTTCAATGCACCTTTAAGATCAGCACGCTAAATCAAAATACAGATAATACTTTGCAGCGTCATCCAGAGCGAAACATTTTATTACACACACTACATAACGAGGCACACTACACACACACACTACATAACTAGACACAAGCTACACACACACTACATAACTAGACAAACTACACACACACTACATAACTAGACACACACTACACTCCACAAAAGACAAAGATCCCCCATATAGCCTTGATAGACTGTAGGGGCAAGTGCTGTTAGCGAGCACCTATGAAGGCCGGAACGGTACACGAGGGGGTGGGTGGCCAGGACCACGCCCGACCGCCTTTGTCACCTTAGTGGCAATGTTTACACACCGCACCAGGTACTCATTTGAGGCTGAGTCGACCTAGGGGAGGCCCGGGACCGGTTCAGATAATCGTCACTGGTATTGGCTGCTGAGCGGGAATCGAACCCGGGTCGCCAGGTTCATAGCGCAGCGCGCTAATCGCTACACTATCACTCCCCCCACACACTACATAACTAGACACACACTACACACACACTACACACTCACTAGACACACTACACTACACACACACTGCACACACGCACTGCACACTACACACACTCACTAGACACACACTCGACGGGATGACGATTCAATGGGACGAGGACAGCTCACACACAGAAGGTCCTCACTCTTGCCCCAACGACGAGCGCAGGCAGCGGGGGTCCCTTTAAACCTCCTGCGTGGCTCCTCCCTCCGGCTAGGCTCCACCCACTTTCGTGAAGTACTTTCCAACTTCCCGAAAGTTGAAAAGTAATTTCCGAAATTTACGTCACCTCTCAAAGTTACATCTTCCATGCCCTTACGTCACCTCTCAACCAACCCGCACTTCCCTACGCTCGCCCCTCATTGGCTACTCGCGATACTCCACGACATATGTAAAAAAAAATCAGGATCGGAATCGGGATCAAACCCACACGCTCATGCATACCAGGCGAGGGAGTTAACATCTCACGAGTATACGGTAACATCGTCTACTACACCTCTTCTCCAACCCACTGTCTTTTTTTTTACCCCCCCCCCCTTCACCTCGCTAGGGGAGGTGGGTGACTGGAAGAATCACTTCTCTGCATCGCAGCTGGAAGAGTTTGAGCAAGACTACAGCAAGAAGATGCCCGCTGATGGTCCGAGCTTCCGTGACACCCTACCCTGACAAACTCAGGATCAACTCACGCCCCGGAGTTCATTCGACTTTGTTTTGTCTTTGTTCTGGCTTTTCAACTTTCGCATCTACAAGTGAATGCGGATAACTCGCTACGTACTTTTGGTTTTGCACATTCATTGTTTGCACCTCAAATCTTTATTGGGATAGAGATGTTTGTCTAAGCGAGACCCCCCCCGCCCCGCCCCCCGGCTATAAACGTTCACCTGAGAAACGGGAGAATAAGAGATGCATCGTCATGTTTTTTTATTAATTAGGTAACGCACTGGGAATCATTTTAGGGAGGTTTACTTTAATGTTGAGACGAGTGTTTGAGGCACGAATACTGTATTGTCGGCGGTACTGGATACAGAATGTGTCGGGGAGGTTTGACCAAAGCGACTGGAGGAAAACACGTGTAATGTTTGAATGTGGACCTCACAGCATGCGAGTTGACACAAAAGCAAAGTTTTTGGGGAATAATGGCCATTTTCTGTAACTTTTGTGGCATAAGCAATTAGGAAATAACATTATCCAGTGACAATTTTTGTTTGTTTGTTACACAGCGTTATCGCGGATTTTATATCGCGGGGGTGGCGCGGTCTAAATCTTGAGATTGGCGGCGCGAGACGCGTCAATTCCCAGCAATTGCGCGGCCCTGTTCAGCGGCAGGGCGGGCGCGCTATGACGAGATCGGGTGACGGTAAAACCCCGACGGCTTCATAACGAAGTGTTCGCGAAAACGACGCTCACACCACCACAACCACCGGTGCCGTGAACGAAGAGTTCTGCTTCATCCAGCGCTCCGGAGTGTTCGTGCTATCATGGAGCCGTCTGACTCTGGTAACGAGGCGGGCGTATTTCACGGGCTCTTTAGAGCGCGGTGCGAGTGTGACAAAACAAAAGGGTTCGCCGATCGCCCTGTGAAATTTAAATTGAAATTGCTCGTCGCGTGGCTGGTCGTTGATGTGGAGCAACAACCAAGGGGTGGCGTTGAGGTTGGTTAAACGACGATGCGAATAAACGACGCCAGGAGTGGTGAAGTGTCTGGCTGCGGCGGTGATGCCTCCTCCTCCTTCGTGTTTGTGAATCGGGATGTTTATTTTTTTGAGTCTCTTCTGTGTGTTCCACGATCTGTTTCCGGGTGGTAACTACTACAGTCGCTGCTGCACATTGCCGGAGAGGTTTTAAAAGAAAAATGTACATTTGTGCATCATCGTCCAGTGTCCGCATCTGCTGCTGTCATTATTACAGTGCGGATGCGGGTGAGGCTTGTGGCCATAATCCGTCACGAGGTGTTTGTTGATAATTTACATTAAATAATATTGTACGCATAAATAACCATTTCGCGGCGGTGCGTGAGAATACGAGAAACCAAATAAATAAGCAGACAATGCTTTACGTAATCTGTCGAATTGCATAGAAATAAAACAAGGCTTCGTAATGCACACATCCCATTCGGCCACGCGGCCTCGTTGTGAGTGGATGTCTTCAGCAGCTCTGCCGTAGGCGCCGTCAAAAAAACTCTGGCCCCGCGAATCTTGCAGGGAGAGCTACGGTATCGAGATGTTATCTCAAACGCCTGGTACTACAAGGAGGTCGTAGATGCGATCCTGACCCTGACCATGCCTGTATATTTAGAGTTTGCATGTTCACCCCGTGGTCGCGTGGTTGTTTCTCCGGGTCCTCCACATGAACACTCAACACGTAGTTTTTGGAGTATTTGGCTGCTATAAATTCCCACGTGATAAGCCACTAAGTTGAACTATCATTTGTGGCCAGGTCGCTTGTTAAAAAAAAAGCAAGCTATATAGCTCATTGGGGCTTACCTGGTTAAAACATTTAAAAGTAGTTCCGTTTTAGGAGCAAGGGGCATATATTACACGGCAAAACTCCTCGAATGCGCGACTTATATTACGCGCAAACTACCGTTAAAACTCCGCGGCCCTTTGAGATGGGACATCTCGTTTGCGAAAGGTGTCAAGGTGTGCGACGCGTCCATTGTAAACGCGTAACGACGCTGGGGCACACAGACCACCGCGAACCCACGCGTTTTTGTGGTTTGTTTAGCATTCATACAATGACGGTGACAACGAGTCGGTGATGTGACCGAGCGGACACTTGACAGGACCCGCCTCAAAAAAAGTAATGAGAATCAGTGGGCTTTCCTGCGTAAACAAGTGCAACAATGATAACAATAATAACAACCTTGATCTAAACATTAACGCGCCTTATGGAATGTTGAACTTATTCACACCATACGTAGCCAACCGTGGCAACCGGAGGCGGCTGCAGATAAATAGTACAAACAAGTTAAACATGTTACATGAATGCACTAAATATGTATAATTACTTACCAGAGTAAACGTGGGTACAGTATTATTAAGATGCAATGAGGAAAATGGGTGACGTGTGCAAGGATGGAGGAGGTAAAATTTAAGCGACACCGCTACCTTTACAAAACACAAGCCCGGCACAAGCCCGGCCCTTGAAGAAGAGGAGGGGGGGTGGGGCTTGAAGAGGAGGGGGGGGTGGGGCTTGAAGAGGAGGAGGGGGGGTGGGGCTTGAAGAGGAGGGGGGGTGGAGCTTGAAGAGGAGGAGGGGGTGGGGCTTGAGGAGGAGGGGGGTGGGGCTTGAAGAGGAGGAGGGGGGGTGGGGCTTGAAGAGGAGGGGGGTGGGGCTTGAAGAGGAGGAGGGGGTGGGGCTTGAGGAGGAGGGGGGTGGGTTTTGAAGAGGAGGAGGGGGGTGGGGCTTGAAGAGGAGGAGGGGGTGGAGCTTGAAGAGGAGGAGGAGGGGGGTGGGGCTTGAAGGGGAGGAGAGGGTGGGGCTTGAAGAGGAGGAGGGGGGGTGGGGCTTGAAGAGGAGGAGGGGGTGGGGCTTGAAGAGGAGGAGGGGGGTGGGGCCTGAAGAGGAGGAGGGGGGGTGGGGCTTGAAGAGGAGGAGGGGGTGGGGCTTGAAGAGGAGGAGGGGGGGTGGGGCTTGAAGAGGAGGAGGGGGGGTGGGGCTTGAAGAGGAGGAGGGGGGTGGGGCTTGAAGAGGAGGGGGGTGGGGCTTGAAGAGGAGGAGGGGGGTGGGGCTTGAAGAGGAGGAGGGGGGGTGGGGCTTGAAGAGGAGGAGGGGGGGTGGGGCTTGAAGAGGAGGAGGAGGGGGGTGGGGCTTGAAGAGGAGGAGGGGGGTGGGGCTTGAAGAGGAGGAGGGGGGGTGGGGCTTTAAGAGGAGGAGGAGGGGGGTGGGGCTTGAAGAGGAGGAGGGGGTGGGGCCTGAAGAGGAGGAGGGGGGGTGGGGCTTGAAGAGGAGGAGGGGGGTGGGGCTTGAAGAGGAGGAGGGGGTGGGGCTTGAAGAGGAGGAGGGGGGTGGGCTTGAAGAGGAGGAGGGGGGTGGGGTTTGAAGAGGAGGAGGGGGGGTGGGGCTTGAATAGGAGGAGGAGGGGGGTGGGGCTTGAAGAGGAGGAGGGGGTGGGGCTTGAAGAGGAGGAGGGGGTTGGGGCTTGAAGAGGAGGAGGGGGGGTGGGGCTTGAAGAGGAGGAGGGGGGTGGGGCTTGAAGAGGAGGAGGGGGTGGGGCTTGAAGATGAGGAGGGGGGTGGGGCTTGAAGAGGAGGAGGGGGGTGGGGCTTGAAGAGGAGGAGGAGGAGGGGGATGGGGCTTGAAGAGGAGGAGGGGGGTGGGGCTTGAAGAGGAGGAGGGGGAGGTGGGGCTTGAAGAGGAGGAGGGGGTGGGGCTTGAAGAGGAGGAGGGGGGTGGGGCTTGAAGAGGAGGAGGGGGGTGGGGCTTGAAGAGGAGGAGGGGGTGGGGCTTGAAGAGGAGGAGGGGGGTGGGGCTTGAAGAGGAGGGGGTGGGGCTTGAAGAGGAGGAGGGGGGGCTTGAAGAGGAGGAGGGGGGGTGGGGCTTGAAGAGGAGGAGGTGGGGTGGGGCTTGAAGAGGAGGAGGAGGAGGGGGGTGGGGCTTGAAGAGGAGGAGGGGGTGGGGCTTGAAGAGGAGGGGGATGGGCTTGAAGAGGAGGAGGGGGTGGGGCTTGAAGAGGATGGGACCTGAAGGTGGGAGGGGGGGCTGAAGAGGAAGTGGGTGAGGCCTGAAGTGAAGGGGGTGGGGCCTCACGAGGAGGGGGCCTGAAGAGGAAAAGGGTGGGGCCTGAAGAGGAAAGGGCGGAGCCTGAAGAAAAGGTGGGGCCTGGAGAGGGGGGGCTGAAGGCGGTTGGACCTGAAGAGTGGGTGGGGCCTGAAGAGGAAGGGGTGGGGCCTCAAGAGGTGGCAGGTTCTGAAGAGGGGGTGGCTGAAGAGATGGGGGCTGAAGGAGGGGCGGGGCCTGAAAAGGAGGCGGGGCCTGAGGTAGGGAGGGCCTGAATAGAAAATCCAAATCAGCGAGACCTCCAATTAAAACAGGACCCAAATAACCTCAAACCGGCGACTCAAAAATTTCGTGGCTTTGTAAAAAAAGTCCTTAAAACATGAACTTCAGTTTAACACGTAGGCTTTCATGGCCAGTATTATTCATAATAAATGGTTATAGGTTAGGTCGCGTTATTATAAGGGGACGTCCATTAATGAATAAATGACGTCACGCACCTGGGGGGAGGGGGTCAGACATTTGTGACGATGTGTGACGATGTGTGACGATGGGGGGGGGGGGGGGGTTGAGAAATGTGACGTCACATCAAAATGCGCAACTTTAAATAAATATAGACAACACGTTCTACTTAAATTCCGATTTAAAGCTTTCGTGACTGTAAGGATTCATCTTATTTGGTTATTTCGGTAAAGTCACGTAGAATGAGAATAAAATAATACATTTTTATTCTATTTTATGAATTTATTATTGTATTCTCATTCTACGTGACTTTACCGAAAGAACCAAAGAAGACGTTCTACTTAATTAAATAGACGTTTTAATAAATGTTTTCTCCTACAACATCAGAGTGCAGCGCCACTTTAAATACGCACTACAATGACAATAGTTTATAGCGATTTGAAGCATGTTTTATATTTTATTTGGGAGGGAGGGCAGAGCTTTGTGACGTCATATTTGAGGGGCGGGTCTGACTTTGTGACGCCGTGACGAAGGGGGGGGGGGGGTGGATCAAAAATCGTCCAAAATCGCGTGACGTCATTTATGGACGGCCCCTAAATGTGTCGCAACCCTCCACAACCCGACACGGACAATCAGTAAAAAATGTGACAAATAATTCACTACTTTAGCCCACCGGTGTGTTGAAGAGTGGATCCACAACATTTATAATTTGAGTACGACGTTTCGCTGGAAAATACATCCAGCACCTGCGGGCGATTTGCAAGAATAGTGAAGCTATCCACCTGCTTCTTGTCTTAAATAGTGCAGGATGACGTCATCGTTGTTGAACCCCATCAGGTTTCTAGATCAGAGGTGGGGGTGTATGCAATTATGTAATCGATCAGCAATCGACCACTTAGCATGTGGCTCACCTCTCAGGAATTGCAAGATGCGTTGCGCATTACTTAATAATACGCTTCCAGGCTCTGCTGAGTCGAAATTACAGCGGTTGAAATTATTTGAATTCTCAATTTCAATCGATTCTCTAACTAATCTTGGCTAGTAATAATTCGTTCTGCATATTACTTCAACGTTATCAAAATTAATTGAATGTCCTTGTTGGATAGCATGCTCTGCCACTGCTGACAGCTGTGTTTGGGAGAATTTAATATTACCTTTGTTCTTTTAGTCTTACGCCGATGTTACGTCCCGTCTGTCCAATCTAACACTTACCGCATAAGCATTTGATCGGATATACACCTTCTGTTGATAACTTCGGTAATTCATCTTTAGTACAAGACACTAGTTTATTTTTATTTTGTGAACTGTACCAAATCTCACTTTAGTGTTTTTGCTTTTGCAAAACACTTGCAGCAGCATTGTTGTTAGATCTTGATTTGGCATTCAATGCTCTGGTAATTTGAGCATTATTGTAGCCTAAAGGTCTTAATTTTGCCGTTGCCCCACGCACAATTCCAGTAGATGAGATAATGGCCGGCGGTAAGACATCTTCCACATAACGAGGCAGAGAAGACTAGACACGAGGTTGCCAAAATAATTGAGAATAGCAAAATACCAAAAGTGAATATTGGCTTTGGTGAAGCAAAAGCCTTAAGAGAGCTTCGATTAAATAAAGAAATTCGAATTTTGGCAGCTGATAAAGACCACACTACTGTAGTGATTTCTCAATCAGATTATGATAATAAAATTAAAGATTTACTGGAGGAAGATACCTATATTAAAATTAAACGAGATCCAACCAATACTTTAGAATGCAAGGCTTCTGCAATACTTGCAAATTCATTCATCTCCAAGACTGAGCAATACCAAATTAAGCCACGGGCCTCAAAACCACCAAGATTGTATGGGCTACCAAAAATTCATAAAATCAGTATCCCATTATGACCCATAGTAAGTACAATATGCTCTGCCACATATAAATGAGCAAACTATGTAACAAAACAAATACAGCCATATCTTCATTCATAAGAAATTCAGAAAATCTTGTGAATGTGATTAAATATATTTAACTTAACCCTAATGATATTCTGGTAAGTTTTTGATGTAATTCTTCTGTTCACTAAGGTTCCAGTTAACGAGTCACTTACATTACTTGATACACTACAGGTTTATCAGAAGATATTCCAAAATTAGCCGACCATTGTCTAAATAACACTTATTTCTTGAAGAGAGGTGACTTCTTTAAAATCAAGGAGCAGCAATGGGTTATCTTTTGTCTCCTGCTATAGCAAATCTGTACATGGAAAACTTTGAAACAAGAGCACTTTCCTCAAGTACATTAAAACCATCTTTTTTGGTTTAGATATGTCGATTACACTTTGGTTGTCTGGCCAGATGGTAAAGATACACTTGATTAATTTTTAAATATTCTCAATGTGCAAAACCCAGCCATTCAGTTCACCATGGGAATTGAGGTGAACTCCCCTTCCTAGATATTTTGCTTGGACGCGGTCAAAATGGCAAAGTTAGACAAAGCGTCTACCGAAAGGGAACGCACACTGATTCCTATCTGAATGCAGATTCGCATCATCACCCAGCACAGAAGTCCTCTCTCATCAAGACGCTCATACATCGGGCAAAGACAGTCAGATGGTGAAAGTTTAAGGAAAGAGATTAAACATGTTAAAGAAGCACTAAGACTGAATGGTTACAATAATGTTCAAATTAACAGAGCATTGAATGTTAAATCAAGATCGAACAACAATACTGCTGAAAGTGATCAGATTATCCAAACAATTAAAATATCATATATCTCGGGAGTTACTGACAAATTAGCCCGTGTTTTGCAAAAGCAAAACATTAGAGTGAGATTTGGTACGATACACAAAAATCAAAAACGAGTGTATTGTACTAGAGATTAATTACTGAAGTTATTAACAGAAGGTGTAAATCGGATTGATTGCTTATGTGGTAAGTGTTAGATTGGACAGACGGGACGTAACATTAGCGTAAGACTAAAAGAACACCAAAATAACATTAAATTATCCCAAACACAGCTGTCATCAGTGGCAGAGCATGCTCGCCAACAAGGACATTCAATTGATTTTGATAACGTTGAAGTGTTATGCAGAACTAATTATTACTGGCCAAGATTAGTTAGAGAATCAATTGAAATTGAGAAGAATTCAAATAGTTTAAACCGCTGCGATAGCTATAGACTCAGCGCAGCCTGGAAGCGTATTATTAAGTAATACATCACATTGCAATTCCTTACAGGTGAGTCACATGCTCAGTGGCTGATTGCTGATCGATTACATAATTGCATACACCCCCACCTCTGATCTCGAATCCTGATGGGGTTCAACAATGATGATGTCATCCTGCACTATTTAAGACCGGAAGCAGGTGGATGGCTTCACTAGTCTGGCAAATCGCCTGAAGATGCTGGATGTAATTTCCAGCGAAACGTCGTACTCAAACTGTAAATGTTGTGGATTCACTCTTCAACACACCGATGGGCAAAAGTAGTGAACTATTTGTCTTTTATCAACGTGACACATTTTTTACTGATTGGCCTTGTCGGGTGGTGGAGGATTGCGACACATTTATAAATAACGCGATCTAACCCAAACATCTTTATTATGAACCATGACCTTCCCTGCTTTAATTTAAGACAATTTAAGCATGGATTAAAATATGTACTTCAGGAAGCAAAAATTTAATGCCACAGATATAGCCTCAGCCCAACGAGTAAAATTGTGATTAAGACTAAATAAAAATGTGAACTGCACTTTAAACATTTGAAATTAATTAAGAGTTTGAAATGCATTTTACCAGAACTGATCACAATGGTGTGATGTGAGTTTGGTAGTGAATTTGAAAGCCAGATTTCTTAATTCTTGCAAGTCAACGGCCATTTTTTTTTGCTGAGTGGTGATTGTATACCAGAGGCTGAGCTGGCCCTATAAAGATGTTATATGTATACATGTCACAGATGGAGCTGCGGAAGGCTCTGGAAGGGTCTTCATGCAGTCGGATGACTCGAAGCAAGCCCGGATAGACCCTCGACACCGACAAAAGAATCGCTATCGGCGAAAGAAGACCCTCGATGCGAAAGGAGCAGTGGCAGAGCCTGACAGAGCCTGCACGCAGCAGACGGAACCACGGATGGACTTAGAAGAGTCCCCATCATGGGGAATGGAGGATGGTCCAGGGCCAGGAGACAGCGCCGGGACCACGCCAGCACCTGGGGCAAAAAAAGATACCATTACTGAATATGGTAAAATAAGTTAGAGGCGCATTTCACTGAACGAGCGTCCCTTCTACGAGAATTAACTATCACGAACAATTAGAATTTAGACCAATTCGTTCGCAAAACGAGCAAATGTTCGCGCAACGAGTGGAGACCAATCGATCGAATGTGTCCCGAGCGCCACGGAGATGCAGCTGTTTGTTTACCAGCTGTCCTGTGCTGTGTGCGAGCGTGATTTGCCATGTAGGGGAGGGGGGACTCGTGGTGGCATTGTAATGGGTGGCGTGGGTGGGGGGGGGCACACACACAACGACAACAATCATCCACCGTGTAACCTTAACAGGCTGCGGGGGCAAGTTCTGTGAGCGATCAGCGCTTATGAAGGCTGGTACAGCACACTAAACTACTTTTATTTTAAGACCCACTGAGCTATATAGCTATTTTTCAGGACCGTCCTGACCACAAATGGAGTTCAAGGACGTGGCTTACAACGTGGAAATTCATAGCAGCCAAATACTCTAAACGGATGTTTCTAAATGTGGAGGGAAAAACCAGAGAACCCGGAGAAAAATCCACATGACCACGGAGAAAACACGCAAACTCCAAGTATACAGGCATCAAGGTCGAGATCGAACCCACGATCTCCTGCATACTAGACAAGGTAGCCAGCACCACACCTGGCCGCCTTTGAATCCCCAGTGGCGGTGTTTACACACCGCACCAGGTACTCATTTGAGACTTGAGTCGACTTAGAGGAGGCCCAGGACCCATTCAGATCATCGTCACTGGTGTTGGTCGTGAGCAGGAATCGAACTCGGGTCGTGAGGTTTGTTAGCGCAGCCCGCTACCCGTTGCATTACTGCTCCCCCCACTCACACACATGGGGGGGGGGGGCACGCGCGTGCATGTACACACACACTTTCACACAAAAACAACATCCACTCGCCACGAAGTGGCGGTGACGTGACTTTGGCGCTTGTGCCATGCTCGGTGCATTTTGGGGCTATGAGGAGTGTCGAAGGCCCGTTCGCAGGTCAGGGACCAGACCCAGCTGCCATGGTCTGACTGAGATGACTGGCAGATGCACCAACTGTGCCAACTTACACACGTACATACACACAAACATACACACACACACATACACAAACACAAACACCCCTGGCGGGTTGCTGTGACTAATTCTACTTGTGGAGGATCGCTCTGCTGAACAAATAGTTCCACGGTTCGGTTCGCAAGTACGAGTTCGTATATCGAGGTTGATGTAAAAATAAACTCTTGGAAGCCGGTTCACGAGTGCGGATGTTCATAAGTCGGGTGTCCGTAAGTAGAGGACTGCTTGTACTGTTTTATATTGACATCATTAGTATTATGATTTAAAAGTTGAAATGATCATGTTCATTTCCTGCAAACATTCATTTGCAGGCAACTCGTCGTGCGCAGCCCCCCAGGGCACGTCTCTGGTTCACTCTTTTGACCGAAAGGTTCGTCCCTACATCGACCTGATCGACACGCTGCGCTATCTGGGCGTGGACCAGGACGTGGGCCTCCCCGCTGTGGCCGTCATCGGGGACCAAAGCTCGGGCAAGAGCTCCGTGCTGGAGGCTCTGTCTGGGGTGCAGCTTCCACGTGGCAGTGGTGAGCGAAAAGACATCGCCACACCCCAATATAGGACCACAGAGCTTCGGCAATTGTTGGCATTTGTTCTGGTTGCCTTCCCGCTTGTCTGTAGGTTCCTGCGCATCTGCACGCAAACTGGGCATGTTAGAACTCTACAGCGTTTTGAGATTCAATTTGCATGAATGCTGCTACAGCCAAGTTAAATTATTACTAATTAACAGTGCCAGATTTTGACATCGTTGCCTTTTGTCAGATCCTCACACCTAATTTTAAAGATCGCTCACAATATCCCACGTTCTGGCTTTAGGTCTTCCCCTACCCTCCTCCACCCTGCACACATGTCCCACCGATCACAACCTCCTCCTCTGTGTCTCTGCGTGCAGGCATCGTGACGCGCTGCCCGCTCGCCCTGAAGCTGAAGCGCGCGCCGGGCCCCTGGCATGGACGCATCAAGTACCGCGTGCAAGGCCGCACCGTCAACACGAAGCTCGACACTCCAGAAAGTGTGGGCGACGCCGTCCTGCAGGGTACGGTGCCGTGGGTAGTGACACAACGAGTCCGTGAAATATGGAGGGATGACGCAATGCACGGCCATCGTCTATCCAGTGGGAAGCAATGCCACATGATGGGTTGGAGCAATGGGATCTGTCTGGCGTGGCGTCGAGCATGGATTCGAAATCGCTATTATATCTATCGATTTTTGTTCCGTAATTCTTTATATGGGCAAGGACGTGCCCAATGTAACCTTAATTGGGCATGACACACCCAGTTTACATTTTCCCAATATGCCCCTCAATATTTCAAGGACTCGTCATATCTCTGTAGAGCGCCCTGTACTCCTCCACCCCCACACGTAAATAGCCATATAAGAAATGCAACAGCAACAACTAGGTCACTACCAGCAGCAGCAGCAGGCCTAAGGTGTTGTCAAGTCCGATCGTTGGCGACTGCCGCGCATAACTCCGACAAGTCGCAGGGTGCCGTACCATGTAGTCGCTCGCTCACGGAGCGTTGAACAAGTGTGGCGTGTCCCGCGGATGTCTTTATTGTTGTGTTTGTGCATTCACATGGAGGTATTGTCCTGTGTTGTTTTCATTATGGTTATGCTTGTTTGCCCAGGAAAGCCTCACAGAGTCTCCAGACTATTTTTCAGCAGGGTCCCACTAAGCTTTCGCAGTAGGGGGCGGATGATCGCTGCAATGTGTTTCGCATTCATTTCCTCACTGTGGCAATATTGGACCGTGGCGCCAGCACACAGTGGCCTACTCTACTTTGAATGATGTCACAGGATCTTTAACATACACCGGCGTGTATATTTATGGTTAATACATTCGCAGTATTAGCAGCCGTTTTTTTTTTTACTCCATGTATTTAATGCATAATGATAGACTCATAATAAAACAAATAAAACGCGATTGCATCTACATCTTCCTCTTCCTGCTCTCAGGATTAATATTGACAACGTCCCTTGTTTCTCACAGCCCAGTCAGAGTTGACAGGGGATGATCTGGGCGTGAGCAAGAGCCTCATCGAGCTCGAGGTGACCTCCGATAGTGTTCCCGATCTCACCCTCATCGACCTGCCCGGGATCGCCCGCGTAGCCCTTGCTGGCCAAGCCGTCGACATTGAGACTCAGGCAAGTGCTCACCACACCAACGCTCACCACCTTGCTGAAAGTAGCGGAGCGTAATAGACACACGGCACCACTAATATTGCACAACTCAAGCCAAACCAACAAAATGTCATCATTGTGTAGGGCTTGTTTACCCAGGAAAGCCTCACTGAGTCCGAAGACTCTTTTTCAGAAGGGTCCTACCAAGTTTTCACAGGAGGGAGTGACGATTGCTATGTGTTTTCCAAAGTAACGTGAGGAGGCCAGGTGTATAAGAGGTCAGGGCACGAACTGGCATCGCTGAGATGATGAGTTCGAATCCAGGCAGCCACTTGGGATTAAAATCGGATTCTCATGTCTAGGGATTGACCATCTCAGCCTAATCATCAATAACAATACACAACAAAAGTAATTTTCTCATTTGATTTAGCACTTAATTTAGCGACATTTCAACTCTGAGAATTTGAATATTGGTTTTACTGCCACGTGACAATAGTCGCCCCAACATGGCAGAGTGGGTGGGAAAGTGCTGCCCCTAATGTGTGGACCAGATATCGCTTGCGAGCCGCTCGCTCTACCACTGAGCCACCTGGACGTTTACACAGATTTTCGTGGGATGGCATTGGAATGGTGGCTTCCCCTCCACACGTCACCACTGAAACCATCAGGGCCTGTGTGACAACTACTGCAGCAGGGTATGCCCAACATAGCGTGCTGCACGCAAGGCACATTAACCTCACCACCTGTTCAGGAAAGACCCAAGGCCTGATGGTGGGAGACCGTCAGGGCAGATCTTGGAGGTCGCGCATCCACAGTGCAGCGGCTGTGGAAAGTGGTGGAGGGGAGAAAGCGTTGGCGAGGTGCGGTGGTGGCATCAGTGGCTTTGGCCATGATGATCTCTTGACGTTGATCTTGACCGTTCGGTGACAATGTAATCTTGACTACATCAGCTTGTTTGACTCTGCCTTCTCCTTTAGATAAAGGACCTGATTCGTGACCACATCGGCCGGCAGGAGACCATCAATCTGGTGGTGATCCCCTGCAATGTGGACATTGCTACAACTGAGGCGCTTAAGATGGCCCAGGCTGTGGACCCCACCGGCGTGCGTACCCTTGGTAACGACAACAGTCCTCGGCGCACCACAAACTGCCTTGCAAATTATTTCTCTAATTGGCAAACTTGGCGGGACCCTCCTGAAAATGTTTTGAGTCTCAGTGAGGCTCAACTGAGTAAAGAAGTGTAATAATGATGGACACATGGACGGTCCACCTTGTTTATGTTCTGAAACAACCGAACTTTCCGCCGTTAGCAGTTTCCATTCTGCTTTTAGACGCGCTCTCTATTAAGCAAGCGCAGCTGTTTTTCACGTGAATAATGCACCAATGCCCGGGGCGTGAGTGGCGCGTTATTCCTACTTATTTCAGAATGACAACTTTTCCACCCTAGGGGTCCTTACCAAGCCGGACCTGATGGACGAGGGAACTGAGCGCAACGCTCTGCGCATCCTGCAGAACCAGGTGTTCCCGCTGTCCAAGGGCTACGTGCTGGTCAAGTGCCGGAGCCAGCGCGACGTGGAGGCGCATCAGACGCTGGCCGAGGCGTCGCGTGTAGAGGCTGCCTTCTTCAAGAAGCACCCCGTCTTCTGGTGCGTGCTCAGTGCCAGCACCCGCTTCCAGCCCACATCTTCTCGGGCCGCGCTTGTGGCCTATTTCTGTTTTTAACCCAAGGTGTCAAATTTATTTTCTGTAAGCAGGCGAGCACTCAAGGCTACCGGGAAGAGTCTCATTTGCATGAGTCACCTGGGCCACCAATATGGCAAAAGTGATTGCCGTGTAATAGATCGCAATGATGAAGCAAATATAAATGGGAGCAAATACCACTGAGTGGCTTTTAGAGCAACAACAACCACATGACAGTAGACATTTTGAAACACCACAAGCATAAATCATTATTAAATAAAAGAACTGTCCCGTTCCGAATGTTGGCAGTATTCTGTAAACAGATAAGGGGATACATGCACGTGCAATTTCAAGTGATGAGTTCAGTCTGGTGTGATTCAATAAAGACAACAGAATTGTAAACACATTTTTAACAATTTTTCCACCAACAGTAAATCCCCGTTTAACGCGTGGCGCTCATACTGTGCGTTTTCACTCTAACGTTTTTTCTTTAACGGAACGTTTTTTGTCTTAACGTGCACTGCTCCCACTCTAACGCGAGCTTAGTACGCGACGGGCTACTTTTCTGAGCGGCTTGGGTGTTCGCAGAATTTTTTGGTGATGCTGGCAGCTGGTACTTTAGTACGGGAGTCCTGGTACTTTGTGGATGAGTGCTGCATTACCTGGCGTGCCTTCCTCTTCCTCAGCCTTTGTTCCACCATCTTTGTGTGCGTAGCGTCGTCTCACTCCCTTACCTTTTCCACTCTCCACATCTCTCACACTGCGGGTGAAATGCTGTGAAGTATGATGCGTAGTTGACTTTGCCGATGATATCTGCGATTGACCCATGCTGCACTGTGGTGTCTCTGTCCCTTTTAGCCACGTGCACAACGGTGGCAAGTTGACCACCACTACCGTTTTGGCTGCCAAGCTCACCGAGGAACTTGTGGACAACATCAAGGTGGGCGGCGTCAGGGTGGCGAGGCAGTGGTAACGCTTGTGCCTCGCAGCAAGAAAGGGGGCCTGGGTATGATTCTCGACTCGGGCGCTTTTCTGTGTGGAGTTTGTATCGTTCTCCCAGTGTTCTGCACGCTTTCCTACAGGTTTTCTGGTTTGCTCCCATAGCTAGTGCTAAAGAATAATCTGTAAATAACTGCAAATAGATCACTACACGTAGCAATGTCAACCCCTGCTACAAAACTCGGCAGGGCCCTCCTGAAAAAAAACATTGTTGAGGTTTTCCTGGATAAACAAGTTTAACAACAAATTACAACGTACAAACTAGTATCTGTTCCCTCGCCGTGAATGATGTCGCGTCGCAGCGCACGCTGCCGAAACTGCGGAAGGACCTGGCGGAAAAGCTGCGTGAAGCGTGCGCCGAGCTGGAGAGCCAGGGCGAGTCCATCCCGGATGACGCTCGAGCGAAGCAGCTGTTCATCAATGCGGTGCGTGCACACGACGAGCGGCAAGTGCGTTGCTGCTAGGGCCACTCTTCGATTTCGTGTTCGAATATTTTTTTGAAAATCAATGGCGACCATTGCTTTGGGGCACAGGCCCCCCCCCCCCATCGCACACGGTCAGTGAAATTTATTTCATCATGCATAGTCAACGAAGCACCGTTGCGCCAAACGTGTGACCTCTTTCGACATCGTTGTCATAAACGGCTCTTGCTGCCGTACATAGCGGCGGTGCTGAACTCATCGGCTGTGCGCGGCTCCTCGGGCAGACGACGCCGGAACGGACAAGCGAGGAGTCGTCATCCCCTCTTCGCTGCAGACGCAGCTCGCGTCCTGGGCCTGGTCGCGATGTCTTCCCCCTGTAGCGCTGTACCGGAGGCGGTTCAGGCATCGTCAGTTTGCACCGCTGGTCCATGTCACCGCCCCCAATGTCTCGCGCGTGTGCTTGCTGTGTGTTCACAGCGCGTGATGAGATACAATGACGACGTGCGAGGACTCGCGCGGGGAGAGCCCAGCCGCAATCTTCCACGCAACATGATGCTGTACACGCTCGTGCGAGAGCACTTCCGCACGTGGCTCAAGGATCTGAAGAGAGCCCAGGATGCGTGTAAGATTATCGCTACTGCAACGGTTGTGTTCACATGCTGCGATTTTTTTTATTTAGCATTTTTCTGGAAGGGTTATTTGTGTAAAACAGCTTATAGCTGAATGTGTCTTATCTGCATCAACAAATAATATTACGTCACGTGGAATCGAGTGGACCTCACTTTTGTGGACCCAAAGACGCATCAAACGACATGGAAATTATCTGGAAAAATAAAAAAAAAATTCCATTAAAATAAAAAACCTGAAGTTATACTTCATCAGAAACTCATCCCTAGTATTTACTGGTGCGAATTTTTTTAATCTGAAATTATTGAATCTGTGAACTTAATGGCGTATTGTATTGGTCTACACCAGTGCTTCCCAACTCTTTTGTACTCACTGTCAATGTCAACCCTCAAATAATTTATACGGACTACCGTGCACCAATAATCTATTTATATAAATTGCAATTACTCCAAATCGTAGTAACTGGCTTTGTGGTCAAACCGTGATCTGCGGACCATAGGTTGGGAACCACTTCTGTAATTGTTCAATTCGACGTGCTGGTTGTGCGCTTATTTCTCGCAGGGCTGGAAGAGCTGGACAATTTGATTCGGGAGTACATAGATAATCGCTCGGGGCGGGAGCTGCCGGGGTTCGTGAGCTACCACGCCTTTGAGAACCTCGCTCGAGTTCATGTGCAGCGCTTGGAGAAACCGGCCCTCAACGTGCTCGCTGTCACCTGTTGTACGTGCCGCAGCGCCGATAGTCACAATGTCGAGGGAGAGTATGATGTGTTATTATTATATTTTGTCTTTCTGCCTGTTTATTTACTGTCAAAGGTCTCCGCTATATTTTTTTCTGCCAAGCTGTCGGTAAGGGGTAACAATTGCTCGTGTTTTCGTAATTAAGTCATTTGCGTGTAAATAAACTAAAAATGGGCACGTTTTATAAGTTGACACATACGCACAGCGGGGAGCAGTGGTGTAGCGGTTAGCGCACTGCGACCCGAGTTCGATTCTCGATCACGGGCAACACCGGTGACGATTATCTGAACCGGTCCTGGGCCTCCTCTAGGTCGACTCAGCCTCAAATGAGTACCTGATGTGGTGTGTAAACATCGCCACTAGGGAGACACAAAGGCGGTCGGGCGTGGTGCTGGCCACCCACCCCCTCGTGTGCCGTTCTAGCCTTCATAAGTACTCGCTAACAGCACTTGCCCCAACAGTCTGTTAAGGCTATAGGGGGATTTGTCTTGGTGGGTGTGCGCGAGCGGTGCTTAATGTGTGTGTGTGCGTGTGTGTGTGTGCGCATGTGTGTGTGTGTGTGCGCATGTGTCTGTGTGTGTGTGCGCATGTGTGTGTGTGTGCGCACGTGCGTGTGTGTGTGCGCATGTGTGTGTGTGCGCATGTGTGTGCGCGTGTGTGTGTGTGGGTTTGCGTGTGTGTGTGGGTTTGCGTGTGTGTGTTTGCGTGTGTGTGTGTGCGCGTGTGTGTGTGTGTGTGCGCGTGTGTGTGTGCGTGAGTGTGTGCGCGTGTGTGTGTGCGTGTGTGTGTGTATGTGATGTGTGTGTATGTGATGTGTGTGTGTGCTCATGTGTGTGTGCGTGTGTGTGTATGTGATGTGTGTGTGTGCGCGTGTGTGTGCGCGTGTGTGTATCTGTGTGTGTGCGCACGTGTGTGTGTGTGTGCGCACGTGTGTGTGTGTGTGCACACGTGTGTGTGTGTGTGCGCACGTGTGTGTGTGTGTGCGTGTGTGCGCGTGTGTGTGTGTGTGTGTGCACACGTGTGTGTGTGCACACGTGTGTGTGTGCACACGTATGTGTGTGTGTGTATGTGATGTGTGTGTGATGTGTGTATCTGTGTGTATGTGTGTGTGTATCTGTGTGTGGGTTTACGTGTGTGGTGCAGGGAGCGTGCAGGATGTGTTCATGCGACTCGCCGATGACGTGTTCAAATTCCTTCCAGAGTTTAACCGTCTCGTCAAGGTGACCTTCCTTTAACTACTTTCTTACGGTGTCCTTCGAGCTCAACAGCAAAATGTTTGAATCCTGTGTTTGATTCAATTCCATTGCATGTGTTTAACAATGAAAATGATCAGTTCCAGACTTGGCCCGAGGTTCCCCCACCACCCCTCCCCTCCATCCCCCACTGCCCTCCCCCATATTCCCCACCACCTCTCCCGAAAACCCTCCAAACATCTCCATATCATCCCCCATTGCACCATAAACCAACGTATTTAGAAAAAAAAAACCCTCAACATTTGCCAATAACACTGTGCCCTTTAAAGAAAAGATATACAATCGATGACATTTCAAGCAATGGCCCTTCTTCACAGCACATACATGAAAATATTTTACGTGTCGTAATCATCGTCAACGCTGGACGATTTCCGTCCACTCGGTATCACCGTTGACCCAATTAAACCCAGCTCAGCTTGACGAATATTCTCGTCGCTAATTTTACTCATTGAACGAACGCCGGCTTGTGTGTTTTTTCACGCTCACCCTTGCCTGGAGGCAGGCAAAGGTGGGAGCGCAGGTGCAAGGCCAGGAGCAGAAAGCACGTGTCCTGATCGTCACCCTCTTCCGCATGGAGAGCATGGTCTACACGCAGGTGCCCGCCACGCACACGCGCGGCGCAGCTCGTAACACCAACTCTGCCAACTACGTATGTGTAGTAGCATGGTTGGACACCGTGTACATCTCCCATTCATCCTTACCTGTAGTAGCAGGCATGTGTCAAAAGGGGGTGGTATACTGAATGAGTAAGATGAGTCGGCCCGTTGGGCAAATAGGGCTCCCCAGACCCCAAGAGAGGAGCTGGGGGGATATTCCAGAGCCCCCTAGAGCGTTCCAGGAGGAAGGCGTGGCTAGGGGCAGAGAGACCCTGAAACGGGTATAAAAGCCGGACCTCTAGACGGGTCCAGCAGTCATCGTCAAGCTGAAGACTGAAGACCTGCTTAGGATAGGACCCTGGGAACCCCCGGACCCGACGTCCTTCTAAGGGCCGGGACTGAGTGGACCAGTGGTCGGGACCCGAAGACCTTGACTGGGTCGGGTCAGTTAGCCTCCCTGCTGTATATGCGGGGTCTTGAAAATGTAATGAAAATAATAAAAATGAAATGAAATAAAAAAAAATGCGTAATTGTCCGAAATTATGCTAATGTATGTAATTATGCACAAAAAAATCTGCTAATCAGAGAGATAATCATATTAATTTATGCGAATGTATGCGATTATGCTCATGTGGGCAGTTATGATAATTAGGCTTAGCTTCATTGCCCAGGGTCGTATAATCAATCAGGATCATACAATTAATTGTGTGAAGTTATGCAGGTGTTTAACACGTAGGCTTTCGCGACCAATATTATTCATAATAAAGGTTTTTGGGTTAGATCGCGTTTATTTATAAATGTGTCGTAACCCTCCACCACCCGACACGGCCAATCAGCAAAGAAAAGTGTCACGTTGACAAAAGACAAATAATTCACTACTTCAGCCCACCGGTGTGTTGAAGAGTTAATCCACATTTACAGTTTGAGTACGACGTTTCGCTGGTAAATACTTCCAGCATCATCGGGCAATTCGCCAGAATGGTAAAGCCCTCGCTTGCTCCCGGTTTTATATAGAGCAGAAGAGTGACGTCATCACTTAACTCATCAGGTGCAGTGATTAGAGGCGGAGGGGGGGGTAATGTAATTATATAATCGATTAGTAATCAGTCATTGGTTATGATTAGTAATGAGTTGTAGATTAGTAATTCTTTAAATCAAAATGTAATGTGTATTATTTAATAATACGCTTCCAGGCCGCACTGAGCCGGTAGCTGTCAGAGCGATTAAAGTTATTCTTGTTCCTCTCAATTTCAATGGATTCTCTAATTAGTCTTTGCCAGTAATAATTAGTTTTACACACCACTGCAACATTGTCAAAATCAATTGAGTGTCCTTGTTGACAAGCATGTTCTGCCACTGCCGACAGTTGTGTTTGAGATAATTTAATATTTCTCTGATGTTCTTTTAGTCTTACGCTGATGTTACGTCCCGTCTGCCCAATGTAGCAGCTGCCACATGAACAATTAATCCGATATACACCTTCTGTTGATAGTTTAGGTAATGCGTCTTTAGTGCAAGATACTAGTTTTTGAATTTTGTGTACTGTACCAAATCTTACTGTAATGTTTTGCTTTTGCAAAACGCGGGCTAATTTGTCAGTTACTCCTGAGATATATGGAATTTTTATTGTTTTAACAATCTGGTCGCTTTCAGTAGTATTGCTTTACGATCGTGATTTGGCATTCAGTGCTCTGTTAATTTGAGCATTATTGTAGCCATTCTGTCGTAGTGCGTCTTTAACGTGTTTAATCTCTCTCACTAGACTCTCACCATCTGACACTGTTTTCGCCCGATGCACGAGCGTCTTAATAAGAGAGGATTTTTGAGCTGGATGATGATGTGATTCTGCATTCAGATAGGCATCAGTGTGCGTTTGCTTTCTGTAAACACTGTGTGTTATTTTACCGTTTAGGCCATGTCCAAGCAAAATATCTAGGAATGGGAGTGTATTATTCACCTCCATTTCCATGGTGAACTGGATGGCCGGGTTTTGTGCATTGAGATGATTTAGAAAATCATTAAGTGTATCTTTACCATGTGGCCAGACAACCAAAGTGTCATCCACATACCTAAACCAAAAGGATGGTTTTAATGTGCTCGAGGCAAGTGCTCTTATTTCAAAGTTTTCCATGTACAAATTTGCTATAGCAGGGGATAAAGGAGAACCCATTGCTGCTCCTTCCTTTTGTTTAAAGAAATCCCCTCTCCATAAGAAGTAAGTGTTATTTAAGCAATGGCCAGCAAGTTTCGGAATATCTTTTTGTAAACCGGTATTCTTTACTAGTGTATCAAGTAATTTAAGCGATTCGTCCACTGGAACCTTAGTGAATAGAGAAATCACATCAAAGCTTACCAGAATATCATCAGGAGTAAGTTTAATATCTTTAATCACATTCACAAGATGTTCTGAATTTTTTATGAATGAAGATGTCTTACCGATGTAGGGCTGTATTTGTTTGGTTATATATTTTGCTAATTGATATGTGGCAGAGCCAATTGTACTGACTATGGGTCGTAATGGGATGCCGATTTTATGAATCTTTGGTAGCCCATAGAGTCTAGGTGGTTTTGAGGCCCTTGGCTTAATTAGGTATTGCTCATTTTTAGGGATTAATGAATTTGCAATTATTGCAGTGGTCTTACGTTCTAAAGTATTAGTTGGATCTCGTTTAATTTTAATGTAGGTACTTTCCTCTAGTAAATTTCTAATTTTATTATCATAATCGGCTCGTGACATCAGTACAGTAGTGCGGCCTTTATCAGCTGCTAGGATTTGGATATCCTTATTTACACGCAGCTCTCTTAAGGCTTTTGCCTCGTTAGAGCTAATATTTACTTTTGGAACTTTGCTATTCTCAATTATTTTAGCAACCTCATGTCTAGTCATCTCTGCCTCATTATGTGGAAGGAGTCTAACTGCTGATTCTACCTCAGCAATTATCTCATCCACTGGAATTGTGCGTGGGGTAACGGCAAAGTTAAGGCCTTTAGAAAGGATAGAGACCATGTCACCGGTTAATACAGTGTTGGTCAAGTTCAGTACAGTTTTGTTTTTACATTTTTGGTTTTCAGTAGGGATTTGATTATTATGTAGTCTAGAAAATTTATTAATTTGGTTAGTTTTTGTTAGTTTAAACACATTATCAGCCGATTGTTGTGTTATGTTATCGATTATATTCCAATAATGCATAGATACACTATTGCTTATATCTAAGTGTAACTGCTTTAGCGATTCCGAAATGTAAGATAATTCACTCCTATTGTGCTGTATTCTCTCTATTAATAATAATTCGCTAGCTTTGTGTAGTATTTGGTTAGCTTTAGAAGACTTTATGTGATGTGTTATTTTAACTGCGTTTGGTATTACCTTTGAATCTCTGCACCTTTTGAGGAACGCCAGTGAAGATATCAATTTCATCCGCTTAATGCGAAGCTTCTCCAATTTTCTGGTTTTAAGAAAAGTATCCTCCCCATAGAGGTTAGTCAGTTTAACACGTAGGCTTTCGCGACCAATATTATTCATAATAAAGGTTTTTGGGTTAGATCGCGTTTATTTATAAATGTGTCGTAACCCTCCACCACCCGACACGGCCAATCAGCAAAGAAAAGTGTCACGTTGACAAAAGACAAATAATTCACTACTTCAGCCCACCGGTGTGTTGAAGAGTTAATCCACATTTACAGTTTGAGTACGACGTTTCGCTGGTAAATACTTCCAGCATCATCGGGCAATTCGCCAGAATGGTAAAGCCCTCGCTTGCTCCCGGTTTTATATAGAGCAGAAGAGTGACGTCATCACTTAACTCATCAGGTGCAGTGATTAGAGGCGGAGGGGGGGGTAATGTAATTATATAATCGATTAGTAATCAGTCATTGGTTATGATTAGTAATGAGTTGTAGATTAGTAATTCTTTAAATCAAAATGTAATGTGTATTATTTAATAATACGCTTCCAGGCCGCACTGAGCCGGTAGCTGTCAGAGCGATTAAAGTTATTCTTGTTCCTCTCAATTTCAATGGATTCTCTAATTAGTCTTTGCCAGTAATAATTAGTTTTACACACCACTGCAACATTGTCAAAATCAATTGAGTGTCCTTGTTGACAAGCATGTTCTGCCACTGCCGACAGTTGTGTTTGAGATAATTTAATATTTCTCTGATGTTCTTTTAGTCTTACGCTGATGTTACGTCCCGTCTGCCCAATGTAGCAGCTGCCACATGAACAATTAATCCGATATACACCTTCTGTTGATAGTTTAGGTAATGCGTCTTTAGTGCAAGATACTAGTTTTTGAATTTTGTGTACTGTACCAAATCTTACTGTAATGTTTTGCTTTTGCAAAACGCGGGCTAATTTGTCAGTTACTCCTGAGATATATGGAATTTTTATTGTTTTAACAATCTGGTCGCTTTCAGTAGTATTGCTTTGCGATCGTGATTTGGCATTCAGTGCTCTGTTAATTTGAGCATTATTGTAGCCATTCTGTCGTAGTGCGTCTTTAACGTGTTTAATCTCTCTCACTAGACTCTCACCATCTGACACTGTTTTCGCCCGATGCACGAGCGTCTTAATAAGAGAGGATTTTTGAGCTGGATGATGATGTGATTCTGCATTCAGATAGGCATCAGTGTGCGTTTGCTTTCTGTAAACGCTGTGTGTTATTTTACCGTTTAGGCCATGTCCAAGCAAAATATCTAGGAATGGGAGTGTATTATTCACCTCCATTTCCATGGTGAACTGGATGGCCGGGTTTTGTGCATTGAGATGATTTAGAAAATCATTAAGTGTATCTTTACCATGTGGCCAGACAACCAAAGTGTCATCCACATACCTAAACCAAAAGGATGGTTTTAATGTGCTCGAGGCAAGTGCTCTTATTTCAAAGTTTTCCATGTACAAATTTGCTATAGCAGGGGATAAAGGAGAACCCATTGCTGCTCCTTCCTTTTGTTTAAAGAAATCCCCTCTCCATAAGAAGTAAGTGTTATTTAAGCAATG